TGAATTTTGGGAAACTTTAACGGTGCTGCCAACTTTGGAAAAAGTCATCCCAATTTACTGTGTTAACTTGGCATTGTACAGAAATGGACAACCATATTGGTCTAGAAATGTTAATTTATTTTATTTTTTTTCCATGTGTACAGGGGTAACACATCGTACTAAATATGTAAGGTCATATCTACGTGGGTTTGATTACAGAAACTAATAAAGTATTCTCTAAATAATGAAAAAAGAATAAGAAAAGACTATAAGAGCAAGAAGCAATTTAAATATGTTCAGGGACCATTTTCATCTCCAGAATTAAGCATTATTTTGATGTTACATCATTGCCTTTTCTCTTTTAACTTTCCTTTTTAGTTTTATTTTAGGATTCCCTATTTTTAATGTTCATACAGAGATTTCTTCAACTGAAATACCGAATAGTAAAGGTGTAGGGAAGGTGGGAGGGGTGGGGGAAAGGTAATAAGGGAGAGGAAAAAAATATGAGAAACTGAAAAAATGGAAATAAAGTGTTTGTAAATGGGGAGGGGAGGAGGCGGTGAAGGGAGGGCAGGGACAAGGGGAAAAATGAGAATGAAGACCTATTATGTAAAGGTACAGAATCCCAGTGATGAATGTAACTGTATTTGTATACCTAGATTGTACCAATAACCTCAATAAAAAAGAAAAAAAAAAGATACATGGAAATACAAAGAGCTAAGGACAGTTTACACAATTTTGAAGAAAAACATCATGGGGGAAGAGCTCTTCCACTGCCAGAACAATGATTTATTATAAAGTTACAGTAATTACGACAGCATGCTATATTAGAAGGATTGATACAGACCAATGGAACAGAATATTGTCTTAAAGCTCCATATATATGATACTTGATTTATGAAAATGATGACATTGCTGAGTACTAAGAATGGCTTTATTTATTTATTTTAAGAAAAAAGTACTATGTCTACTGTTTTTTTATCTGAGAAAATGGTGTGACCTATGGCTTACCCCATCATAGGTCTAAATGTGAAAAATAAAACCATGCAGACTTTAGGAGACAGTGTAAGAGAATAATTCAACGAAAAATTACTAACCATAAAAGACTGATACATTGGATTATAATAAAATCAAGAGAGAGTACTAAGGGTATGAGAGAATATACAGAACTAAAAAAAGGAAGAGTACTCCAAATACATAAAGAACATTACAATCAATAAAAATAGACAACCCAACAAAAGAGGGGGTTGTAATAGGTACATACTTTACAAAAGGATATGAAAAAAATGCCCCCTCAGATAATAAAACATTAAAATTACATTAAGAGACTACTACATACCCATGCAGTAGGGTGGCTAAAATTAAAAGAATATTTTCACATGCTACAGGATTAAGACTCTCCTATACTGATGGTGGGAGTATAATATGGCCCAACTTCTTTGGAAAACTGTTCAACAATATCTACCCAATTTGAACACAAAGATACTGTAATCTATTACCCAGCTATTTTACTAACAAGTGAGTACACAAAGCAAAATAAATACATCAAAAGGTATACATAACAATGTTCACAGCAATATATTAATTAAAACATTGGAAACAAGGTACATTTCCATCAACAAAATAAAGAAGTCGTGGCACATTCATGCTATAGTATTTATGGTATACTATAAACTAATGAAAGTATTTCTACACACAAGAAAGACTACCACACAAAAAGAATATATGCCATGTAATTCTATTTATATAAGGTTCAAAAAAGGTACAATTAATCTACAATGTTAGAAGTCAGGGTTGTGGCTACCTATAGGAGGTAAACACAGAGAGACCTTTAACATATATAGTGATTAAAAAGATATGAGGTGTGATATAAAAATAAATGTTTAAAACTAAAAAAAATTTATTACAGTAAAATACACATTGCCACTAACTCCTCAGAATATTTTCTTTAACTTTGAACACACTTATCCCATCATTCTTGCCACTTCTGGAAGCAGTTCTGGAAGTCTTCTTCAGTGAGTGTCTTTGGCTGCCCTGATGTTTCAAACTGATTTAAAACATTTACCTTTCATGGTCACTGTGACTTTGGTAAAGAACCAGAAGTTGCACAGTGAATACCAGTAGGGTATA